GCAATAGCAGCTTCGTGCAACCGTCAAGCTCATGATTGCTCTTTCAGGTCCGACAAAGGCTGGGCTAACCTATTTGGCGCCCAATGCGCTCTGGCAGACGTCATCGCTCGTTTCGCGCTGGCCGTCACGCAAACTGAGCCCTCGGCCTGGACCACCGGCCTCGTCGAAGTGAGGCTTGAGTTGCTGGATGGCTACTGGAGCGACTTTCAGGCCAATCATCTGAGGCTCATCGAGACGCCTCCTCCCGAGAAGCAGGAGTCACTAACCCAAATGTACTCGACATCGGAGGCTGAGTACATAGAGTCACGCGCCCACCTCTACAACGCGAGGAGCACCCTCGCAACACCCCCTGGCATATATATATTGCTCAATACCAACATTTTATACTTGACTTGAAGACGTTTTCATTAATTTATTATCATCTAAAAAAACAAATTTTTTTGTACTATAAGTATGAAAAATGATACAAGCAAATTAAAACAAGAGAACAACTGGTAAAAAATAATTATAAATAAATATGTGGGGCAAGGGGGAAGTAGCGATGAGTGAAGACTTGGCATCGCCACGCGGGTCTCCAATGTGTGAGTGTTCATGAACACACAGATATACACACATCAGGTGGTGTGCACTCTGCAGTGTCTGCACTGTCTGCTGCGTCGGTTACGACAGCGTATATGTATATTTTTAATGTATTTGTGCTAAAGATGTAAGTATTTGATTTTTATTCGTTATAACAATGTAATAAAAATGAGTAAATAATTAAAAATACTTGTGACAGATATATGTACACACAATTATATTCGTAGCTAATGTAAATAAAATTCTTGAATTTTTATGTGACTAGAAAAGTCTCATTGAAAGTGATATGTTAAATAATTAGGACATACTCAAGTCTCTGCGATTACTACAAGCATGTGATTTTGTTATCTTGTGTAAAAAAATTGTATTGTATAAAAATTACAAACTAAAAATTTTATTAAGAAAAATAAATATGTGTTATTATAA